GCCGTTCGCAACCGTCCGCAACCAACTGCGGTAGGGCGCTATGGCGCTGGCATTGGGCGAAGCTTTTGGAGAGGGCTTTGGATGGAAGCATGACGTGTCAGATTCGTGTGAAATAGTGAGGAAGCGTGTGGAAGCGTAACAGGTTGAAGTGTGGAAGATGATTTCACTGCGCAGGTGCAGCGTTTTGTGAGATCCGCAGTATTTTTTGCTGTCGTGGCCGTGACATTCAGATTTGCGTTTCAGACTATTGCTTCGAAGCAGTGTTTTCGTGACAGGTCTCAGCTAAAATTGCGATTTTGGTGGATGGGAGTGTCTAGTTTAGCACGTGTCGAAACCATTATTGCAATCATGTGGCGTGGTGCAAATTTTGCTGAAGACATGAAGACGTCGTCGTGGCCGGCGCAGTACTTTGCGCGCGTTGGAGGCGTCGAAGTTAAGTTTTCGTGGCAGGCGCAGGAATCGTGAGGCTGCGATGTTTGGTGAAGGTCAATGTGACATTGGGATTGGTGCGTCTGCGGTTGTGGCCTTGAGGGGCTGGAATTGCGAAACTGCTTGGCAAGGCTGTTGTCTCTGTTGAGACTTCCCGCCTCACTATTGAAGGAAGCCTCGTACGAAACGCTCGCTTTCGAGAATTTAACGCGTGACTTTTGGAGGAAGCCTCGTACGAAACGCTCGTCACGCAGACTGGACGCGTGAGTTTTGGAGGAAGTAGCTCGTTTTGCAGACTTGAAGAATGAGTTTTTGAGAAACGACTCTCGTACAAAACGCTCGTTTTGCAGACTTGACAGTTGAGTTTGGGAGGAAGTCTTGTACGCAACGCTTGTTTTGGAGACTTGACCTGTAGGTTTTGGAGGAAATCTCGCACGAAACAGTCGCTCTGGACACTTGACCGCAAGAGAACCCCACAAAAGTTGCACACGAGAGCGTGTCCTGACAAGTGTCTCGTACAAGAGTCCTGAAAGAGTGTACCACAAGAGTGTCCCACTAAGAGTGGCGGGCCCACAAGAGTGCCCGACAAGGGTGTCCCATGAGCGCGCCACCTGACTATCGTACGGTCGCACGTGGCCTCAGAACTGGATGTAGTACGGGAAGCGGTTTGTGGGAATTGCCCTCACAACTCGCGACTTTGTAGCGCTGGCGCAAAATCTGACAGCTTTGTAGTACAGTATGGGAAGCAGCTTCTGGGAGCTGTGCACTTTAGCGCAAATGTAATATCGGAAGCAGCTTGTGACCTCACAACTGGCAACTTTGTAGTACACATGTAGTGCGGCAAGCGGCTTCTTGGTAGCACAAGGAGCTGAACTGGCATTGATTTTGTAGTACAAGTGTAATACGGGGAGCCGGTTCTAGAGCTGTGCGCCTCAGAACTTTGTGTAATACCGGAAGCAGCTTCTGCAAGCTGGCCTCAGAACTGGCAACTTTGTAGTGCAATGTAGCGCGGCAAGCGGCTTCTGGGAGCAGTGGCCGTAGAACGGGGGAAGGGAAACATGCTGGTGTAAATTCGGCGCGTCGCTGGAGAGTGGAATGATTGGTTGCGCCCACGACGCTTGGTGCTACATTGTTGTATCTAGTCTTTGGCACGCCGTGTGGCCAAATTCCGTCTGCGATGTCGCTTTGCCATGCAGTTGCGCGCGGCTTCGGTGGAAAGCACGAAGCCGCATGAGTCCATGCGGGAAGGAAAACATGCTTGTGTAATTTCGGCGTGTCGCTGGGGAGCGGGATTCAACGACGCTTGGCGTTACATTGTTGTATCTAGTCTGCGACACACCACAAGAGTGTCGCACGAGAGTAGCCCACAAGAGTTTGCCACAAGAGTGAGTGTCCTACAAGATCTCCGTCAAGTGTCCTACAAGAGAGTGTCCCATGCGACAAAAGAGTAGCGAGGGTCCCACAAGACTGCCCCCACAAGAGTGTCCCGCGAGAGTGTCCCACAAGAGTCCCACAAGAGTGCCCCACAAGAGTGTCCCACACGAGTTTTCCACAAGAGTGTCTTACACGAGTGTCGCACCAGAGTTTTCCACAAGAGTGTCCCACAACAGTGTTCTGACTACAGTACAAGAGTGTCCCACAAGAGCACCGCCAACAGTGTCTTACAAGAGTGTCCCACAGGAGTGTCAAACTTTGTTTTAGAGTGCGTGTTGCACCTGGGTTCGTGGGTTCCATCTTGCGTTTCGGCTGTCACAAATATTTTGATACCCTGGCTAGAACCCCATCGTCTTCCTCAATATCTGCCTCTTGAGTGCGCCCAGGTGACCCGATAAAGTTACAAACAGAGTGAGCAACAGGGGTCTCCAGCACAGTGTGATCTGGAGGTATTTCCCGGTTCGTGGGTGATTTTGGGTAGCCCAGTGGCGGTGACTAGTAAAGGAAAGCCCACCCACAAGGATCGATATACAATGAAGCACATGGTGATCCACTTCATACGACTGAAATCTACGCCAAACAATTGACCAGGAAGTTTGCAACTGGCTCCCTACATGGATTCTGACATTGCCCATGGGGATCGTCAGCCAGCCCATGTGAGTTCGCCGTCGACGACATGGGACATGTGACTGGCACTCCCTCCTGATGAGGCCAGGGATGACGGGATCATCCTGGAGTCGACCTGTTCGTGATGGGGTTCCTTTATCAGTGACATATTATATATGTGATATGTATAACTGAAAAAGGACTTCCAGGCATATCAACCATGGCTGGTTCTCACTCATCCATGAACTCAACGGGTCACATGTCGACGGAGTACGATGGTCCAGCTTGTCCTTCGTCCCGTGGCACATCGTTTTCTCAGCTGGGCCACCCATTGGCACAAAGGAAAGTGATGATCGCAATGATCAAAGCCTTGAAGTGGAAAGATGTTAAACATGCGTTGCTTGTCTGAAAGCTCCCACAGATAGTGGTCACGCGTTGCTAGTCTGAGGGATGCGCCATGACCAAAAGGAACATTCTACCAGTCATGACAGAGATGTAGTCGTCCTCGACCATGAAAGACTAGTGTGCACAATTAGAAAGATACATGTCCTCTACCCCGCTTAGTCAGCTCAGTGCCCGGCTGGATAAGGACATGTGTACCCTGTGCTTTCCTGGAAGACACACCGGAAGCTAACGGAAATGGGGCGGCAAAGAATCGTCCATGAGCATAGTGTGCGAGAGTCAACGAATGTGTTGTTCACCTGACATCTTCTGCAATTGTCCATAACGTTCCAAGATGGTTTTGGAATCTATGTGTGTTTGCACGGACTGCGAAACATACTATATATATATATATACATGTACTGTACTTTGTTTTGCCACTCTGCATTTATACGTTTTGCACTTTATGGGTGCTTCTGACACAGGGAACCTGTAAGGTTCCACAGTTCGGTTGATCTGTGCTTGTCATGACCGTGTCATGGAGAGTGCAATGAGCTGATGCGAAGGGGAATTCATGAAATCTCATGGGTCAGGAATCATTTTGCGAAAAAATAAACAGTCTTAGCACACATTTATATAGCCCGGTTCATACAGAACTGTACACTTGGAAATTTACACCTAGACAGCCCCTATGAAGCGTCTCAAGCCGCTGTGAGCTCCTGCCTTGAAGGGGTCAAATTCAATGAGGCTCAACGATCTGGTACAAACCAGCATCAGGCCTCAGATCTCAGTCGACCCAAAACGACATCACACACCTTCACCCTTTCCTCAGTATGTCTTTTTTATTCAAGTGCGTCCCATTGTTTCTCTCCAAGATCGAAGCTCTGCATACCAATGAAGAAAACACTCTGAACCTGCACGCTCACCCTTTGTCAGCTCGCGAATTGTCTAATTGAACCAACTGGCGTAATGGACTACAAATCAGCCGGCTGGGCCCCCACAGTCGCTCCAACAGCCTCCAGGCACTTCCAAATCTTGAGAAATCTCGACACAGCGACGTCAACACCAGGCAGACCATTGTTTTCTGGAAGGTGGGCCGGGTCTTCTGCGCGCTGTACTTAGCAGCCTCAGAAATTGCGGAAAAGAAGTCCATAAGCGCCAGGGTCACAACGGCTTTGGGCTGGACTTGATTGCATGATCTTCAACTGAAGCTGAGCTGTCTGCAGTGAGAAGGCCAAAGAAGTCATAATTCAACCAGCGCACCCTCAGCCACACCACGAATTATGCCATGTTTCAAATTTCATGCACCATGCAACCTCCAATGTCGTCTGGGAGCCAAGCATCAGAAGCGCAATGACCTGCAACGGCTTGCAATGTTAAGACAAAATAGGCGTTTGGAATAGGTCACTGTGCCTTGGGCTCCTGTGAACAGCTATTTAAGTAAACCCAAACCTAGCGTTACCATATCCTTTGTGCTTTGACACATCTACATCTGAGTACGTGAGTACAAGCTGCACGCCACCAGTTGAGTCTCCGACAATAAGGAAGCATGAAGACAGAATTACGACTGGTCCTTTCACATCGGGTCAGAAGAAACATGTTCGATTGCCAACCGGAAAGCTCATGACCGATGGAAAGTAACTAGCCTGAAGGTTATACAGTTCACAAAACCACCGTTTGTGGTCCTTCGCAGCGAGGGGTACCATTAAACATGGTGGCAAGCAAGGCCAGGTAAAATCTCTCGAAGATCCTGAAAGTGCATCCCAAATGTGTGGAAGAAAGCTATTATATAGGTTGGGCCATCGCTAGCAGGTTGGAGGCCATCACTATAGTAGGTTGGAGGGCATCGCTATAGTAGGTTGGAGGCCATCGC